TTGGTGTGAATGAGTATGTGTGTGCCTGCATGTGTGAACTCCAAGTGGATATGGTTTTCCTGTGTCACAGTCAGCATAAAGAATTAGGAAACATGAAATCACAAATGAATCAAAGCATAAAAGTAATTTTGCATGGTTTATTGACATCTTTGCTTTTATTTTATTTCTTCATTTGGATGTGAATTTCTTAAAATGCATGTCATATAAAGAAAGATGTCATATAAAAGTTTCAGTATCACGTGTGTACAGGTATTAGCATATATTTTGAAGTTAGTGTATGTTTATATTGACAATTTTACAGAAAAATTACATAATTTCACTATTAAAATATCAAATGATTTGACAATTTTTTCAGATTAGAAAAAAATAATTTTCTGTGAGAATATTTCCCAAATATATGTTTTCTCCAACAAGATATTCAGGGGATCTTACCCAATATGAAATAATATTCACCTTCATTGAGACTTTTGTATTTCTCTTTTGCTTTTGTTACTTTTAATAGCCAAAGAAGTATACAGTTTCCTTTCATAACTAAGAGTAATTCATTAGGATAAATATTTTGGCAAATATTGATTTGAGAGTGAGATTTCAGTCCTAGACACTGTATGGCCTTGTGACATCCTCTGAGGCTTCCAGGACACTGCCCATTTTACAATCAAGTGTCTGTAAATTCAATATGAGAATATCTGGGATAATTCTAAGATCAATAATAGATTACAATCATAAAATCTCCTCTTAAGATTAAATGTTAGTAATCAAAGGATAGAATTTAGAATAGATGATGACTTCATTAGTCATGTTTCTTTTTTAAAATGTTTTCCTAAACATCGTGATATATATACTGAAGCATAAGAAATATCAGGTGTTTCAAACACATGCCTACCTATGCCTTGCATTTAAAGCTAGTTTAGATGCATTTAATGACAATATTACAATTATATTCTGTATTTTGCTTAAAATTGTGACATTGAAATAAGATCCCTTTGTCTACAAAAACTAGAGTAAGCAAAATGATAAATGAAATGAAGGAAGCCTTCTTTACTCTCTAGGGCTGAGTTAATAATATTCTCCTAAGTTCATTTCTACAGAAAGTCTTTGCAAGGGTTTGTATTTCTAGGTTGCAACTGAGCCATGATCTATAAGCTGGAAAATCAAATGAATGGCTTACTTGGAACCATGTTAAACAGTCATGTAGCTAGCACTTACAGGTACATGAAGCAGCACTACAATCATGAAGATAATTTAAGTAATCCTGCTTTAATTTAAATATTCAGATTATTCTAGCATAGATGTTTAAGGCCTGAATTACTGGGAGAGTCACACCAGCTTTTAATCAGGTTATTAATACAGTTCTTAAAAAACAATTTGGTATATTAAGCCATTCTCGCACTGCTATAAAGAACTGCTCCAAAATGGATAATTTATAAAGAAAAGAGGTTTAAACTACTCATAGTTTCACGTGGCTAAGGAGGCCTCAGGAAACTTACAATCATGGCTGAAGGGGAAGCAGGCACACATTATATGGTGGTGGGTGAGAGAGACGGTATGTGAAGGAGGAACTGCCAAGTACTTATTCAACTATCAGGTTGTTGTGAGAACTCACTATCATGAGAATTGCATGGGGAAAACCATCCCCATGATCTAGTCATCTCCCTCCCTCAACATGTGGGGATTACAGCTCCCTCCCTTGACCCATGGGGATTACAATATGAGATGAGATTTGGGTGGGGACACAGAGCCAAACCATTATTATTTGGTATGGTTAGAATAAGTTCAAGAAAACCATAGTCATTTCCTATAACTGAACACTACTGGTTGTCTTGTCAAATAAAATTGCTATTATTTCCACAGGTAATTCCAACTTTCCACCTGCAAAGTGAATTTTCTAAACTGAAAAAAAATGCATTAAAATTAAGTCTAGTTATTCTCTATATCATTAACAAAAGAATATGTTCCTTCAAAAATCTCCCATCTGTGAGTGACTGAAACTAATATTCTCTTTATTACTGCCTATTTTATTCAAATAATGGCTGCTTAACAGTATTGCATTTTGTTATTATTACTCAAGTCTGGCTATGTATAGCTATAAGCTATGCAGTTTTTTTGTGTCATAATAATGGAATATTATATTACTTAATATTCTAATTAACTTCCTAGTTGATTAGAAAATATCTATAGTTTATTATTATACTTTAAGTTCTGGGATACATGTGCAGAACGTGCGGGTTTGTTACATAGGTATACACATGCCATGGTGATTCGCTGCATGTGAATCATCTACATTAGGTATTTCTCCTAATGCCATCCTTCCCCTAGACCCCAATCCTCGACAGGCCCCAGTGTGTGATGGTTCCCTCCCCATGACAATGTGTTCTCGTTGTTCAACTTCCACTTATAAGTGAGAACATGCAGTGTTTGGTTTTCTGTGCCTGTGTTAGTTTGCTAAGAATGATGGTTTCCAGCTTCATTTATGTCTCTACAAAGTACGTGAACTCATCCTTTTTTATAGCTGCATAGTATTCTATGGTGTATATGTGCCACATTTTCTTTATCCAGTTTATCATTGATGGGCACGTGAGTTGGTTCCAAGTCTTTGCTATTGTGAATAGTGCTGAAATAAACATACGTGTGCATTTCTCTAATGACCAGTGATAATGAGCTGTTTTTCATATGTTAGCCACATAAATGTCTTCTTTGAGAAGCGTCTGTTCATATCCTTCACTCACTTTTTGATGGTGTTTGCTTTTTTCTTGAAAATGTATTTAAGTTCCTTGTACATTCTGGATATTAGTCCTTTGTCAGATGGATAGATTGAAAATATTTTCTCCCTTTCTGTAGGATGCCTGTTCACTCCGATGATAGTTTCTATTGCTATGCAGAAGCTCTTTACTTTAATTAGATTCCACTTGTCAATTTTGGCTTTTGTTGCCATTGCTTTTGGTGTTTTAGTCATGAAGTCCTTGCCCACACCTATGTCCTGAAAAATATTGCCTAGGTACTCTAGGGATTTTATGATTTTAGTATTTATATTTAATCCAACTTGAGTTAATTTTTGTATAAGGTGTAAGGAATGGTCCAATTTCCATTTTCTGCATATGGCTAGCCAGTTTTCCCAACACAATTTATTAAATAGGGAATCTTTTCCCCATTGCTTGTTTTTGTCAGGTTTGTCAAAGATCAGATCATTGTAGATGTGTGGTCTTATTTCTGAGGCCTCTGTTCTGTTGCATTGGTCTATATATCTTGGTCTATATATATACCATTGGTCTACATATTTCAGTACAAGTACCATGCTGTTTCGGTTACTGTAGCCTTGTAGCATACTTTGAAGTCAGGTAGTGTGATGCCTCTAGCTTTGTTCATTTTGCTTAAGACTGTCTTCCCTATAGGTGCTCTTTTTTAGTTCCATATGAAATTTAAAGTAGTTTTATCTAATTGTGTGAAGAAAGTCAATGGTAGCTTGATGGGGATAGCATTGAATCTATAAATTTCTTTGGGCCACATGGTTATTTTCAAGATATTGATTCTTCCTATCCAAGAGCAAGAAATGTTTTTCCATTTGTTTGTGTTCTCTCTTATTTCCTTGAGCAATGGTTTGTAGTTCTCCTTGAAGCAGTGCTTCACATCCCTTGTGAGTTGTATTCCTAGGTATTTTGTTCCCTTTGTAGCAATTGTGAATGGGAGTTCACTCATGATTTGGCTCTCTGTTGTTCTACTATTGGTGTTTAGGAATGCACATTGATTTTTTTTATCCTGAGACTGTTGAAGTTGCTTATCAGATTAGGGAGATTTGAGGCTGATATGATGGGGTTTTCTAAATATACAATCATGTCATCTGCAAACAGAGACAAATCTAACTTCCTCTCTTCCTATTTGAATGTGCTGTATTTCTTTCTCTTGCTGATTGCCCTGACCAGAGCTTCCAATACTATGTTGAATAGGAGTAGTGAGAGATGGCATCTTTGTCCTATGCCAGTTTTCAAAGGGAATGATTCCAGAGCTTTTGCCCATTCAGTATGATATTGGCTGTGGGTTTGTAATAAACAGCTCTTACTATTTTGAGATATGTTCCATCAATACCTAGTTTATCAAGAGCTTTTAGCATGAAGGGCTACTGAATTTTATCAAAGGCCTTTGCTGAATCTATTGAGATAATCATGCAATTTTTGTCATTGGTTGTTTATGTGACAAATTGTTTAGTGATTTGCATATGTTGAACCAGCCTTGCATCCCAGGGGTGAAGCTGACTTGATTATGCTGGATAAGCTTTTTGATGTGCTGCTGGATTTTGTTTGCCAGTATTTTATTGAGGATTTTTGCATTGGTGTTCATCAGGGGTATTGGCCTGAAATTTTCTTTTTGTGTGTATGTGTGTCTCTGCCAGCTTTTGTTATCAGGATGATCCTGGCCTCATAAAATGAGTTAGGGAGAAGTCTCTCTTTTTCTATGGTTCAGAATAGTTTCAGAAGTAATGGTACCAGGTCCTCTTTGTACCTCTGGTAGAATTTGGCTGTGAATCTGTCTGGTCATGGGCTTTCTTTGGTTGCTAGGCTATTAATTACTGCCCCAATTTCAGAACTTGTTATTGGTCTATTCAGGGATTTGAGTTCTTCCTGGGTTAGTCTTGGGAGGGTGTCTGTGTCCAGGAATTTATCAATTTCTTCTAGATTTTCTAGTTTGTTTGCATAGAGGTGTTTATAGTATTTTCTGACAGTAGTTTGTATTTCTGTGGGATCAGAGGTGATATCCCTTTTACTTTTATTGTGGCTATTTGATTCTTCTATCTTTTCTTCTTTATTAGTCTGGCTAATGGTCTACCTATTTTGTTAATCTTTTCAAAAAACCAGTTCCTGGATTCATTCATTTTTTGAAGGGTTTTTCATATCTTAATCTCATTCAGTTCTGCTCTGATCTTAGATATTTCTTGTCTTCTTCTAGCTTTCGAATTTGTTTGCTCTTGCTTCTCTAGTTTTTTTTTTTTTTTTCATTGTGATGTTAGGGTGTCGATTTTATATCTTTCCGGCTTTCTCTTGAGGGTACCCAGTGCTATAAATTTCCCTTTAAACACTGCTTTAGCTATGTCCCAGAGATTCTGATATGTTTGTGTCTTTGTTTTCATGGGTTTCAAAGAACTTGCTTATTTCTGTCTTAATTTCACTATGCACCCAGTAGTTATTCAGAAGCAGATTGTTCAGTTTCCATGTAGTTGTGCAGTTTTGAGTGAGTTTCTTAATCCTGAGTTCTAATTTGATTGCACTGTAGTCTGAAAGGCTGTTTGTTATTATTTCCACTCTTTGGTATTTGTGGTAGAGTGTTTTACTACCAATTATGTGGTCAATTTTAGAATGAGTGTGACGTGGTACTGAGGAGAATGTATATTCTTTTGATTTGATGTGGAGAGTTCTATAGATATCTATTAGGTCTGCTTGGTCCAGAACTGAGTTCAAGTCCTGAATACTCTTGCTAATTTTCTGTCTCATTGATCTATCTAATATGAATTCAAGTCCTGAATATTCTCATTTTCTGTCTCATTGATCTGTCTAATATTTGCAGTGAGGTGTTAAATTCTTCCACTATTATTGTGTGAGAATCTCTTTCTTCATAGGTCTGAAAGAACTTGCTTTATGAATCTGTGTGCTCCTGCATTGGGTGTATATATATTTAGGATAGTTACTTCTTGCTGTATTAATCCCTTTACCATCTACCCAATACCAATGTATTAAACCCATTACCATGTAATGCCCTTCTTTGTCTTTTTTGATCTTTATTTGTTTAAAGTCTGTTTTATCAGACTAGTATTGCAACTCCTCATATACATATATATATATATATATATATATATATATATTGCTTTTCATTTACTTGGTAAATATTTCTCCATCCGTTTATTTTGAGCCTATGTGTGTCTGTGTGTCTACAATTGAGAAGGTCCCCTGAATGCAGCACACCAATGGGTTTTGACTCTAACCAATTTGTCAGCCTATGTCTTTTAATTGGATGATTTAGCCCATTTACATTTATGGTTAATATTGTCATGTGTGAATTTGATCCTGTCATTATGATGCTAGCTGGTTATTTTGCCCATTAGGTGATGCGGTTTCTTCATAGTGTTGATGGTAGCTTCATCCCATAGGGGAACCTGACAGATGCCAGCCAGAGCTCTCCTGTGTGAGGTATCTGCCAGCCCCTGCAGGGAGATGTCTACTAGTTAGGCAGCATTGAGGTCAGCGACCCACTTGAGGAGGCAGTCTGTCCCTTAGCAGAGGGCAAGGGCTGTGCTGGGATATTTGTTGCTCTCTTCACAGCCAGCAGGCAGGAACGTTTCATTAGCTGAAGCTGCACCCATAGCCCCCCCCTTTCCCAGGTGCTCTGTCCCAGGGAGATGAGAGTTTTATCTATAAGCCCCTGGAGCTGCTGCCTTTCTTTCAGAGTTGGCCTGCCCAGAGAGGAGGAATCAGAGAGGCAGTCCGGCTATATATAGCCACTTTGCAGAGCTGAGGTGGGGTCCACCCAGTTTGAAAGTCCTGGCAGCTTTGCTTACACTGTGAGGGAAAAACTGCTACTCAAGCCTTAGTAATGGTGAATGCCCCTCCCCGCACCAAGTTCAAGCATTCCAGGTCAACTTCACACTGCTGTGCTGGCAGTAAGAATTTCAAACCAACGGATTTTAGCTTGCTGGGCTCTGTAGGGGTGGGATCCGCTGAGCTAGACCATTTGGCTCCCTGGCTTCAGCTTTCTTTCCAGGGGAGTGAATGGTTCTGTCTCACTGGCATTCCAGGTGCCACTGGGGTATTAAAAAAAACCCCTGCCACTAGCTCAGTGCCTGCCCAAATGGCTGCCCAGTTTTGTGCTTGAAACCCAGGCCTTGGTGGTGTAGGCACTCGAGGGATTCTCCTGGTCTGCGGGTTGCCAAGTCCGTGGGAAAAGTGTAGCAGATGGGCCGGAATGGACAGTTCCTTATGGCACAGTCCTTCAGAGCTTCCCTTGGCTGTGGGAGGGAGTTCCCCAACCCCTTGTGCTTCCCAGGTGAGGCAACACCCCATCATCCTGCTTTGACTCACCCTCCATGGGCTGCACCCACATCTAGCCAGTCCTAAAGAGATGACCCAGTTACCTCAGTTGGAAATGTAGAAATCAACCATCTTCTGTGTTGATCTCTCTGGGAGCTGCAGACCAGAGCCATTTCTATTCTGTCATCTTGCCAGCCATCTCTGTAGTTTTTAATGTTAAATCAAACTATTAACTTTTTAAGGCTTTGATGATTATAATCAGAAGGGTTTTTGAGAAAAAAGTTTAGATTCTGAGTCTTCATTTTCTCCTTTTGAAAGTTTTATAGCTTCAGAAGTGTCCACTTACATGTATTTTCCTAGTGTTTCTAGAATTTTCAAGTTTATACTCTAAAATATTATTATATCATAAGCTTAGAAACAGGCAAGATAAAAGAAACAGGTTCATTTGAACACCCTCTTCATCTCTTTCTTTCTCAACAAAGTCTCTCTTCTTTCAAACATAGTTCAAACACAGTTTTCATGAAGAAAATGTGACCAAACTTCATCAATGCTCATGCTCTGATAACTGTACATCTGATTTGGCCTCAGCTCCAAAGAAGACAACATTCATATGGCTTTAATATGCATGGAGATAATTGTAAATATGTGTTACAATATATACATATATATAAATTACAATTATCTACACTCCTGTATATACCAGTACTCCCTTGAAATATGGCCTGTTCTGAGTTCCTCAAGCACAGAGAATTCTAGGGCACATGTAATGTGAGGGCACTTCATTATGTACTTTTATCACCAGTTATTTTATTTTGAATTAATATTTTATTTCAGGGACATAGGATTGTTTTTACAGCAAACCATCTCTGACTATACATTTATAAGAACTAAATTTAGCCTCTGCCAATATATTTAATAAGAGAAATTCAGTTAATTTCATTGAATTGCTTCTACAAATGATCATTTGGATAATTTAGTATGAGGAAGAATAGAAATAAATATTTTTCACTCATTGGATTTATGCTAGCAAATTGTAGAATTCAAGAATAAGTTAAAATAATAAGGATTCGTTTTCAAAATACTTCTTTGTTCTAATTACTGAGATATTCTTAATAATAACATTTTTTCCAGCATTACTGAGGCATAACTGATGATTAGAAATTGTATATTATTTCTGGTGTACAGTGTGATGTTCTGATATATGTGCATATTGTGAAATGATTACCATAGACAAGTTAATTAACATACTCATCTCTTTGCATAGTTACCTTTTCATGTGTGTGAGAGAACACTTAAGATCTAGTCTCTCTGCAAATTTTAAGTACACAATATGGTACCCAGTAATAACATTTTGAGGCTCAAGGATCCATATAACTCTCTTGATCCTTTATTTTTCATGTGTAGACAAAAGAAAATATATCACGACTCTGAAATGCTATAATCAGAATTATAATACACAGCAGGAAATTAGAAATTATTGGTATAAAATGAGGTCAAACTAAATTTTGCACCTACAGACAAAAATGAATAAAATTCCTTTCCATCATATGTCAAAAAGTTTATCCAATTTATCTAATATTAAAAACTTTGATTTTATGTGGTATTTTTCAGACCTTAGCCATATTTAGGCTTTCAAATCACCATGATAAATAACTTTCTGATCCATTGCTTCCCTTAGCTTTGTTGTTATTATACAGCTTTATCTGATATAATTTTTAAACATGTATTTATGACAATAAATCTCCAATTTTCAATTGGTTTGTATTTATAAAAATCCAATTTCTAAATATCTTATCCATGTTGGCTAACGTTCACAAAAATAAAGATCACTTTATCAATTGGGGCTAATTCTAGAGACTAAACAAAAAAATTATTATTTTCAAATTTGCTTTGCTATCTACACTTCAGTATACACCAGTACTCCCTTGAAGTACAGTCTGCTCTGAGTCCCTCAAACACAGAGAGTTCTAGGGCACATATACTGTTAGGGCTCTTCATTATGTATTTTTGTCACCAGTTATTTTGTTTTGAATTAATATTTTATTTCAGGGACATAGTATTGTTTTTACAGTGAACCATCTCCAACTCTCAAGCTATTGCCTACAATCACTGTTATTAATGCAGCACCATCACATGAGAGCCAAGGATTAAACTTGCCAAAACAAGCCTAAGATTTTATAGTCATGAGGAAATTAATTACTACCCATAGAAATAAAACTAGTCACATTCCCAGATTATTTCAAAGTAGTCATTTTATAATATTGCCTGCTAGAGGATTAGTCTGATTGATTACACCATTTCTCCTGAAATTTTTGCCATCTTAAAACCTAACGATAGATATCAGGATAAAACTATTTTACTCTACTTTAGGCCACTTCTATTATTTTGAACCTTTACACCATTTTGTTTTCACTTTTAACCCAAAGAGGACCTTCTCTTTATTTTCCTACCTCTCTTACCAGGAGTCAGTCACTACCGGCCATCCAGGGCAGATAGGACTGTCCATTTAATAAGGAATTACTGCCATCTTGTGGCTACCATAATTGAAGGTAAATATTTCTAATGCTCTAGACAATAAAAAAAAAATTAAAAGATTGAGATGTTATATGCTATTTTATCCATTTTAGTTTCAACATGCCTCATAAAATAGACACTATGATACACAATGTATTTTAGTGAAAATATGTATATGAGTATTAGAGCATGCAGGAAGATGATCTCTGTTCCACACTTCATCAAAATCCAGCAGTAAATGAAAAATGTAAAGTTTGAATCTAAAATAAAAATGTGAGTCTGCACAGGACAGACAATTATGTAAAAAATTAAGTGGTGGCATTAACAATTTCTAACACCCACCCCTGCTTCAGCAATTTATCTTCATTTCTTTTAATGCTAAGAATTTGTAGAGGATCATAATTCAGTAGGTTCAAATATTTCTAACTCTGAGGTGACATGTTTGCCACACATCTCAATAGCCCATGTCAGCACCGGAAATTGGCCAAGACCTACCAATAACCAGAAACAGATTTGAAGTAAATGCGTCTCTCAGATCTGTATGGCACATGTTGTCCTCAATATTCTTTCCCTTGACATGTGACAAATTTGCAAATTCTGCATTTTTAAGATTCACATGGTAGAGCCAGTAAAACACTGGCAGTGAGATCCAATAAGCACATCTCAGAACACTTTGTTCTGAAAGTATAAAGCAAAAACATAACTCTGCTTCTCTGTCAAGATATGTGACATCATGTAAAGCAAAAATTTGTTTTTTGACAGGAAAATTCAAGGTTTATTTATCTGAATGCATTTGATTGAGGAAAACAGCTTACTAAAATCTTATTTTAAAAATGAGATGTTCAAAAAGAACATTTTCTCCTCATGTGTATTGGGCTGAAGTGTAAAACCTTAAATAATGGTAGAAAACACTCCACCTGGTGGTAGAAGAAAAAGGGTAGCAGCTTTCTGCAGAAAATCCTCAGACAAAAAGATGGAATGAATCAACAGAATACAAGTCTAGCTAGAAACTGTGTCAGATACTCCACTGCAGTTGGTGAGCATCTTAAAAGCAAAATCCCAGCAGAATCTGTCTCTCTATAAATCTTTCCACCCCTTTCCATTACTAGGTGGGTATTGTTGGCTCTAAGCCATCTGATTTTACTATGATTTATTAACTGCTATGCATTATATATGAGATTCAGGTTTGCTGAAGAGTTACCTTATGGTCATTGTTGCATACAAATCAGCTACTGTTAGAGAGGTTTATTGCATCATTTTATGCTGCCGGCACTTCTGTTTAGGCATAAATGTAACTGGAAAAGAAAATCCCTCCTGTTAAATTTTCCCATATATGTTACTAGCACATGCAGTGTATGTTAAGAACAATAGTCTTTTGTTCTGTTCTGTTTATAAAAAGAAGAAAAAGCATCCAGAACAATGGGTAAGAAATAAAAACTTGTCTAAATCAAAAGATTGGTATTCTCCAAATCGTTGCTACCACATTAAGCCATTTTCTCTGGTAAGACCAACTGAAACGTGAGAAAGAACAATAATGTGAGCAAAACCAATTTACGCTTGGTAGGAAATTGGAAAAAACGGTAGCAGAGATCTAAGCAGATCTGTCTCTGAAATAAGCTACCACAAAACAGTACTTCCACACTCTTTTTTACATTGAGCCATTTGATTAACTAAGTAAGTCAACTCGAATTTCTAGTCCAGCTCTCAGTACAATGACTTGACAGCTTGCCTTTAGCACTTTGCTTATGTGTTTGCTCATAGCTAGCATAAACAATCAAGACAAAAGCAACACATTACCTAAATGGCCTTGGTTTACCTGCAATCAAAGGAAGAATGGATATTGTCTTACATATCCAACAGGAAGGGAAAAGGCATGGCTGACCATATATATTTTTTTTTAAGCTGAAAAAGGAGGGATGTTTTCCTTCCTTTCTGAAATTTTGCCAGGCTATCCTAACTGAAAGCATTGCTGTCAGCTTTAATGTGGCATATGTTATTAAGTGTTTCTGAAGAAAGACGTTATTATTAGGTAACGGCATTATGCCCAAGAAGAATGAGTCAAATATTCTGCACTCTCAGCTTTAGTAAGCCTTCTGCAGGCATACTAGAATCATATCTACTAAGATATATATATAAAATGACTTTAGAATCTTAACAATGTAGATATAAATATATGTATTTGTTTTAAAATTTTTTATATGTTATCCATGAATGCATTTCCTAATATTTTTAATTAGCTTGATTTCCTCTTAAGTAATTGAGTGGCATGGTGAAAACGTTTTCAAAGTACTTTAGTATAAAACTACTTATTGGAGTCCCACTCTATGCCTACTGATCACTTTTAAGCATAACAGAGAAGAATGGCTTGTTGACCTTAGAGATTCTTAATGTCTTCAAGTCTCTGATTTTTATAGAAACTTTTCATGTATAGTGAGTTGTATGTCACGAAAACTGCCAGAGAGAGGAGATGCTTAGAAGGAAAATGAGACCTTGAAGAGAAGGCAGACAACATGAACCAAGAGAGTAAACTGTTCTCATGCATAGGTAACTTTGAAAAGTATCAATGATAGGTTATACTATCAGTGATAGTATAATGTATATTCTATAATGAATAAATAAATCAAAATAAATCCATATTCTATAATGTCATCAATGCCTTGAAACTGAAGACTTTTCCAGTTTCCTGGATCAATGCTTGAGAAATGCCCTAAATACAGTATCACAATTTCATGTGATAACCATCCCGTGTCCCACCTCTGCCTCCTGCATTTTTCTTTAAGGGGGATATTGTTTTCCTTCCCAAAGGGTATATGATTCAGAGATGTGGAAAACACATCTTCTAAAAAGAAACTATTAATTGGCATATGATATTATTATAATACTTTAATTTTCTTTGGAAAAAAAAATCCCTAAAACCAAATAATTACCAATTTTTAAAAGATTTTCAAAATGTGTAATTGAAAAATCTCAGAAGCAACCCCCAAACTATTGTGTCCTGCGGTTTGTGTATATTACAGTGTCTTTTTAAAAATCAGTGTTTATGATCTCTATTTTCTGGGTGACTAACATGAATTAAAATGGACTGCACAATCAGAAAGTGAAGATCAGTATGCATCGCTTGTTCCAGTTTTTGTATCTTCCAATGACACTATTTAGACTGATAAACATCACTTGGCCTTGGCAATCTAGACACACCGGTCTGTGAATAAACCTTAATTCAGTTAAGTGGTATCTCTCCAAGGACATCTGCTACCAAAAGTTTCAAATATCTACAACAAAACATAATATTCCAACTTCCAGAAACATGATTAATATAAAAATATTTTTCTCCAAAAGGGTAAAGCTATGATTTGAGATATTGCTTCCATTATTTTAGAGCTACAAAACTTCCAGTCTTATGTCACTTTTTTCTTTT